GAAAATAAAGCTGATGTCATTATTTATGCCCAGGAATAATTTCTGCCTCTAAATTCAGAAAGTTATGAGTAAAAAGGATTATTCAAGGGGGCGGGGTGTCTTCCTTCATATTTTCATATTTTTCTTGCATTGGACTACTTTGCTTCATTTTCTCATCTCAATTGGAGGATAATATTGTCTGCTTCATACAGAGGTTGTGAGATTTACTTGAAATAATACATGCAGAATACCTAGAACAGTGTTTGCCATAGCACAAGCACTCAATAGCATTTAACATAGTAGCCACCTCTCTTTTAGGTAGCAACACTGGGGTGGCTGCGGGGCACATATTTGGAGTCACACACAGCCTTGCCTTGCACCTTATTTCCATCTAAGTCCACCTTGATTCTGAAGATCTATGAAATAGGAGCTAAAGCAAACTGCTTGTTTCCCTCTTTTACATATCAGTCACCACATATGGGTGAATATTTTGATTGAGTGTAGATAGGGGATTCAGGGCCTTTCTGGTGAATCAGATTCTGTATCAACTGCTCAGTTAAGATTATGTAAACTTTTTTTTCATGTAAGAAAGAGACTAAGTCTGACTTGTGCATCACTGTACCTCAGCCTGTTGTACACTGTATCATATATTGTAGGCACTTGAAAAATTTTTGTTGAGCAAATGAATCAGTTAATGGAGTTAAATGAGGCATTTTTTTCCACCATTAAAATATATCCTAGAGCCTGGTGTGATGGTCTCCCAGTGACTCTGGAGGCTGAGCCAGGAGTATCCCAAGTTCAAGGCCATCCTCAGCAACCTATCTCAAAATAAAAACATAAATAGGACTGGAAATGTAGCTTAGTGGTAACTGATCCTGGGTTCAATTTCTAGCACCAAAAAAAAAAAAAAGTCTTAGAGATGGAAATCCTTTTTTGAAACAACCTATAGTTGGTTGTATTACAAATGTAAGCTATCCCTTATTTTGTATTAGTTGATTTTTTTGACAACAGAATTAATGTAAGAATATACTTGAGAGTATATTCTTGTTATAATATAACAGTCATAGAAACATTCCATCTCGCCTGTATGAAAATGGCCTTAGAAGATTAAATAACATTTAGCAGATGATTATTACATGCCAGATCCTGTTCTAAATGTTTTAAAGAAAATAAGCATTTTTGTAAGTGTAGTGTGGTATCTTGGATTGAATTCTGGTATATAAAAAGGACCTTAGTGGAAAAACTGGCAAAATCTGAATAAGATCTGAAGTTTTGTTCATTGTAATGTTGGCTTCTCAGTATTGTCAAATGTACCATGATAATAAAAGAGAGTAATATCAGGGAAAATTGGCTGAAGGGTAAATAGGAACTTTCTGGACTATCTCTGCAACTTTTCTATATAACTAGGATTATTACAAAATGAAAAGTTTCTTTAAAAATGTGTATTAGCAATAAATAGGATGAATTTAAACTCAAAAGATTCTTCTCAGCCAAAGAAACAATCAGTGAAGTGAATAGAGAGCCTACAGAATGGGAAATTACATGCACATCAGATAGAACACTAATCTCTAGGATACATAAAGAACTCAAAAATCATCACACCAAAAAAACAAACAACCCAATCAATAAATGGGCCAAGAAACTGAACAGACACTTCTCAGAATGTGATATACAGTCAATCAACAAATATATGAAAAAAAATATCCAAAATCTCTAACAATTAGAGAAATGCAAATCAAAACTACTCTAAGATTTCATCTCACTACAGTCAAAATGGCAGCTATCAAGAATATAAACAATAAGTGTTGGCAAGGATGTGGGGAAAAAGGCACACTCATACATTGCTGGTGGGACTGCAAATTGGTGTCACCAATATAGAAAGCAGTATGGAGATTCCTTGGAAAACTGGTAATGAAACCACCATCTGACCCAGTTATCCCACACTTCGGTTTATACCCAAAGGACCTAAAAACAGCATACTACAGGGATACAGCCACATCAATGTTCATAGTAGCACAATTCACAATAGCTAAATTGTGGCTCCAACCTAGATACCCTTCAGTAGATGAATGAATAAAGAAAATGTGGTATATATATATATATACAATGGAATATTACTCAGCATTAAAAGAGAATAAAATCATGGCAAGTAAATGGATGGAGTTGGAGAATATAATGCTAAATAAAATAAGCCAATACCAAAAAACCAAATGCTGAATGTCTTCTCTGATATAAGGTTGCTAATTCATAATGGGGATGGGGCGGGCAGCATGGGAGGAATAGATGAACTTTAGATAGGGCAAAGAGAGGGAGGGAAAGTGGAGGGATGGAGGTAGGAAAGATGGTGGAATAAGATGGAAATCATTACCCTAAGTACATACATGAAAACAAGAATGGCATGACTCTACTTTATGTTCCACCAGAGACATAAAAAATTGTGCTCTATTTGTATAATTTGAATTGAATTTCATTCGGCTGTCATATATAACTACTAAGAATAAATAAAATAAAAAATAAAAAATGTGTATTCATTTGCCTGTCTTTTAAAACAATACCTTAATACTTAATAATTTAAGTGATACAGTGGATATAACAACTTGGGAGATTCTGTCTTCTGAGCCTCTGGTTATATTGTTAATGAATTTATTTTTTATTTTTTATTTTTTTGCTGCAATGTTGTTGTCTAAGAAGTATAGATGGACATTTAGTTTCCTGACTTCAGAATGTCGCACAATCAACAAGTTCTAAATTGGGACATTTAAATCAGTTCTCATAATAATGACTTTAATTCCTTAATCCTTGACTGAGATGTTGAATTCTGCAGTTATTTGGGGGTTATGAGGAAAACCATTGTTCTAGCTCCCTTTAATGGCACAAACCCCATGACCTTCTGTGCAAGTCAAATCTGCACAAAGATTGCACTTTTGTGCTGTTTCTACCAAGCTGTTTATATAAAATACCTCAATTGGGGGAAGAATTAAAAAAAACATGTAGAGAAGAAAAAGATACTAAAGTAAAAGCTCTCCAGAAAAAGGTACATTAAAAAAAAAATCACTAATAAACTTTAAAGACTAGGGCCAGAACTTCAGCTTAGAGGTAGCTAATATGTTCCAAATAATCTTATTGTACACAGCAGTCAAAAACCTCTTTATTCTTTAATGGGCATTTCCAGCTCCTTTCTTACACCCTTGAAAACTTTATGTCTTGCCTACACAGCTGCAGCTATGACCACAGGCCACTTCTTTTTCTCATTATATGGCCTACCTATTTGTAACAATATCCTTTATTGTTTCCTTAACCACAAACAGCACTGTGGGAGAAAGAAACTCTTGCTCCCTTATTTATTTCAATATGACAGATGAAAATGTGTGGGGGAGAGAGAACAGGAAGGGAAGGCTTTTTTCCTTTGCCTTTCCTCTTTGATGCTTCTATTTCAAAGCATGTTTGCACTTTTTTCCTTGGTTTTGTTTTGCATTTTAATTGGGCCAACGAACTTTAATAAGGTTGCAACGTATTGGGAAAGATGAAATAGTTTACGCTTTTAGAAAAAATCTGTACAGGACTTCAAACTTAAATTGATCTAAGATTTGCATCATTTATCCCTATATTTTAGTTATTGATTTGAACATTGGATACATTCCTACTCATTTCATTTTTCTTCTGGAAATGCTTATTTTTTTTCCACCTAAAATCTGGCAAAAATAACTGCTTATTGCAAATCTCATGATATTTTATTAATGTCTAAGAAATACATTTCCTGATTTGCCTATTTAGTCTCTTTTTGGACATGTTGCTTAAAAGCTTCTGAACCTGGATATTTATAATTACATATATTTTTTCTGCTGAATGTGTTTCAGATGATTTTGATAAAAACTGGAATGTAATTATCTAAAAGTTTATTGGAAATCAAGCAAAATTGAGTGTAATATATAAAGGAAACTTCAGATATTGGCGGGACCAGCCTAGTTTGGAGCTTGGTGGGAGACCTCCTGATATTGCCCCCATTCCCTTCGCCACAGCCTTCAGAGTCCTTCAGTCCTGTTTTCCTGGCCTCTCTCATTACTTTCCTTTTTCCCATTTTCCTTCTCCCCTTTTTATATACACACCCTGGCTAAAATGGAGAACAGGAAAAAGATAGTTTCTTTCCTTTTGCTCTCTTTCTTTTTAAAATTTTCTCTGACGACAAAAGAGTTAAAGTTTCCCAGTATAAACCAATATAATTTTTTTTAAAGTTTTGTTTTGTTTTTATCCAGAATAATGCTATTGAGTTGCCCAAATATTTTTATGCAGATGACTGCACGTGTGCGTAAATTGTAAGGGCTTTACATAGAAAACTTTTGTATTTTTTCCTCTCTCTGCACTTAGTACAATTTTTGGTACAATCTGTCCTTATTATACCATTTTATATGTTTGTCAACACTTATCACCCTGTACATATCAAACTGGAAAACAAACTAAAAATATCAGTTAACTTTTTCATGGGCTCATTTAACTTTCACTATTAAATATACACCCATAATGCTTTGTCTCCTGCTAGACATTTCTAAGCCCAACCCATTTGTCATAGCCAACCCCGAGTTCTACTTTCTCCATTTCAGCTCTCATCTTTTCCTTTTCTCCTTCCTTCTCCAATTCTTACGGCCTATATTTTAATCCCAATCCTTTGACATATTGCTAATCTATGAAAAACTTGAATAGCATAGACATAAAAATCTAACTACACTTTATTTATCTAACCAGACCTTGAGTTTTGTTGATGTGGTGGCCATGATTTATATATTGGCTGTTGTTCTCTGAACCCTTAAAGTGGAAGGTGTCAGTTTACTATGATTGTTAATTATAAACCTTCTGTGGGAGGAACAAAGTAAGAAAAGATATTCTACTTGTTTATCTACATGTTAATCTAGGGTTGTTTAAATGTCTTATATGAAAACATAAACAATCATGACTCAGATTTCACCATTATTTTGTAACAATTGATGGAACCCATGAACTTGCAGATAGAAAATGGCTTTAGTGTCCCTCAGTAGCTTCCCCAAGGAAACTGGTACCAGAAAGGACACTTTCACACCTAGTGTTTTTAGAGGGTATTAGGGGCCATCTGAGTAGAGTTTTGATGCCAGAATGGAGACAGGTAAACAAGAGAGAATCAACTGCATGACGACTGTGATTCTGGTGTATCTCTTGAAGATAAAAAAATAATCATAAGCTCGAGGTCAAATTAATGGTTCAGTTCTTGATAGATTGAAATGGAGAAGTTATAGATTTGGGTTTCATATGTTTTCCCATTCCATAGACTATTCTCATTTAAGTGCAAATAACTGGACCAGATGCCTGGGCATGTGAGCTATGATCAAAAAGTAAAGAATGGGCATAAAAAACACAGCTTCAGAGATAACAGCATCATCGCTAAGGGGCTTTAGACTTGGTATTTATGCCTTTTTGTGGACTAACAGCTGTGGAAATATTGTCCAGGAATCTCACATTTAGATTAGAATATGCAAAGCAGTAAACAAGCAGCTATTACGTTTTGTAGCATGAGAGTTACATTTGCAGCCCTACCATTGAAGGTTAATAACTTGAATGTGAATGACCCCGCATAGGAAAGTTAATACATTTTCCAAACATTTCATTCTGAATGTTACAGTGATCTATTGAAGGCAAAGTAAATAGTTCTGTCACTGTACTTGCTTTAAAATGCCCACAAATATGATATAGTATTATATTTGATTCCAGATAATGCTCAAAACTTGCTCATGTATCTAGAGAACTTCAAAAATCACATAAATTATACATTTTCAGAATAACTTTAGTATCTCACTGCCTTTGTTAGAAGAAAAAAGAAAAAAAATGGTGCTTCTCCTAGTATATAAACTGCCATTATCACAAAGGCAAGAGAATGAAAACATCAAATCGTATATCTGCATTCTGTACTGTTCCCTCTGTTATCAAATTAGCTGAAATGAGATACCTAGCTGGCTCATGGACATTTCCTAGGCAACTATCATTCTCTCAAGTTTACCAAGGTCTTAGGATTCTTAAGATAAACTGCAAAGATCAAATGGAATCCTTGAAGAAGGAAAGAGAAAACAACTTTTGGTATTTTTAGTGCCCCAAACCTGAGATTGCATAATGTTTTGAGGCAGAGAACTCCAAATATGTATTCTGCGCATCATTTGATAAGTGATGCTGTGGGTGGGGTGGGAGTAGGCAAGAAGGAGTAGAAGAGATGGCTTACTCTAGCTACACATTATCCCAATTAAAGAATAGCTTTTGTTTCATGTCCATAAATATTTACTTGAGTTTTTCAAAGCACAAAGAACAGTAAACTCTATTCTTTCCAGTATCATTTGACACAGATTTTCTCTTGAGTTCTTTACCTTTAGAGTAAAGGTCATAAAGCTAAGACAGTATTTTGCACAAAGAAAATACAAGACACATTTATCTTCATGCTCGTTGGCATTCTGCATTCTCTTCCAGTGCTTTCTGTGGCAGGAACTTTTTTGTTTCTCTGCAACCTGTCAATGAACAGGTTATATCTCCCCTTATCCATGGGCATACATTCTAGGGACCCCAGTGAAAACCTGAAACCATGAATAGTGCTTAGCCTTTTAGATACTGTTATTTCTATAATACATACCTATGGTAAAGTTTAAATTAGGCAGATAAGAGACTAAAAATATTAATAAAATAGAACAATTATAATATATTGTAATAAAGTTATGTGAATGTTTCTCTCAAAATACAATTTTAGTTGTTTGTTTGTTTTGGTTAATTTGTCTACTATGTTTGGCTTTATCACACAATCTGTAGTACTGCTGCACAGTGACAGAGTTCCCCTGTCCTTCCCTGTTTTATGCCCTTGTGCTTTGTTTGCACTTATATCAATGTCAGTTGTTTTAGGCATTTTCTTCCAAAAAGCCTTGTTTCAGTACAACTTTGTATGAAATCCTCATTCCTTAATCAATTTATTTATCTTTCACAGAAGTGTGGCAAGAGGTCCTTTATTGATCTATGCAGCCATCTGGTGAGTGTTATATTTTTTATCCAAACCTGCTCCTGAATTTGTGTAATCATCCCTTATTTGTAATGGCTGCCTTGGCTGCCTTTGTTTCAGAAGAAGTGTGCTGAAGTCTTCATCCAGACTCAGTGCATTCTGACTCACAGTGTTGCTGTTAGAAGGATCACATTTTCTATCCTTGACTTTCACCAGGAATCTAATGCCTTTTCCATCTTAACTAAGAAATTACTATGTACCCTGGCTGTAACTTTGCAGTTGTAGGTGCAATATAGTAAAATTAGCATGAATTTCTTTTTCCTTCTTCACAATTTCATGGAGAGGAAATTCATTCTTACCATATATAGATCTGAAAAAACTCAGCATATGATTTTTTCCCTTTCCTTCTTAAGTCCAGAACTTTCATCTTTTCACTTAACAGTACCTTATATCTTCTTTTTGGTATACCTGAATTGAGAGAATCACTGCTTTCAGTTCTTGTATTCAAGTAACCAATACAAACACTGAGATATTGTAAAAATGATCTGCTATTTGAGCAGTTAAGTGAATAATGGGTGAGTAGTATGCCCAGTTGGATATGCTGGATGAAAGGATGATTAACATTTCTGGTGAGAAGAAGCTGGATGCACAAAATTTAATCATGCTACTTGAAACAGCACACAATTTAAAACTTACAAATTGTTTGTTTCTAGAATTTTCCATTTAATATTTTTGGACTGTGATTGAGCTGAAACCATGGAAAGCGAAACTATGCATAAGGAGGGACTACTCTTTGTAAATTATTGGGATACTCATTGTGCAAAGTTAATGATAAAACTTTTATCTGCTATGTCTATAAATACCTTCTTTCAGGTAGAATATTCAAATAAAATATTCATGTATATAATTGAAAATAATATACATGATTATATTATCTCACAAGCTTATGATAACCAATGCTGGAGTCCAAAATTGAGTCCCATGGTCTCATTTTTTTTTCCCCCAGGTCCTTGGTCATATGTAAATCTTGGGTGATTTAAAATTATTAACAGCTTGGTTGGAAGGTACATAACAAAGTGATATAATATCACTGTTCAGAAAATTAGTAAGAAGAGATTAACCTTTGGTATGATTTTATGTAATTCTCCTATGCTAGGAGTCAGCCAATGTAGAGCTAGTAAATTTTCAGCAAATAAATTCTTTGTTTTGCTAAACTTGCTCTTCAAGAAGTATGAGTTAATGGGTGTGGATGGAAATTACTAAGTATTAAAGAAGATTTTAAACTTGCAACCTGTTTGATAGAGAAAAAAGAAAGAACAGAAAGGAAGGAAGGAATTAATAAATGAAGAAAGGAAAGAAAAAAAAGAACCAATCAAAAATTGGAGACTGCAGGGTATATTGCTCTGACTTGAGATACCATGGTTAGAGGTTGGGTGTGAGGTATGGAGGTTAGAGACTGTGCTGGTCGGATGCACCCAGGTCCTAAGGAAACAGTAAGTGTGACAGACATTATGATGAAAGCATGATGATCTCCTTGGATACCTGCAATCTCTGACAAGTAAGGATGACCACAAACAAAGGTTAGGACTCCCTTGCTCATTCTTACATTCAGATGAGTTGATCAGAACTGATGTGTGACCACTTAAGAACTAGAACCTGTAAAGAAACAGAGTACACTATGCTGAAGTAGAAATTCAGGGATAGTGTTTAGGATCAAATCCGATCTTTCCATATGCTAGGTTTAATCTTATCATAGTGTCTCTTGCAGTTGAATATAAGATCTGAACTTCCAGACAAGGACTGCCAAGGGGAGATTCCCTCTCCATCTAACTTGGGGTCCATCTATTTATTAACCATACCCCAGGTGGCTTATGTTTTAGTCATCTGCAGAGACTACAGGGAAGTGTTAGGACTGAGAAATAACTTTTGACTGTTAGCTATGACTCAGAAAATATACAAGGTTTCATTTTATACTATCAACATATAAATTCATATTTTTAGATAAGATAACCTTACTTCATAAGAAGGTCAACTTGGCTTTACGTGTGTATAAATTTTATTGTTTTTCTGGTCCCAAGGCTTGGCACCTGTGCTTTCTTAAAGCTCATTGAAACACTGAAGACTCCAAAGGGATCTATTTTCTCTTTTGCCATCCAAGTCAATATCACTTTACCAACCAAGGAAACTATAAATTATCACGGTTCTGAAATTGGCAGACTGATGCAATTAGTTCTCCTGAATGCTTGACATTCCATGTCACTAAATAGAAAGAAGAAAAAAAAATTCTTTCCTGCTGGGATCATGGTAGAAATGTTAGAATTTTTTTAAGAATAAAAAATCTACAACAGCACATTGTTTTCATGTTTTTCTAGGCTTTATTTTCAGCTGACAACTTTCACCCAGTGCCTGGTGCCAGAATATGACATACACGAACAGGACTGAAACTAGCACCTGTGAAAAGCAAATCCATGACCGTTAAAATATTCAGTCCCTGGGTGGGGCAAAACAAACCCTTGTCTCATTGAAGTTTTGCCAGGAACAGGGTAGAGTTTAGCTGGCACTGCAGCCATGACCGGAAAGCAGCCTACCAGGCACTTGAAATTCACAGCTTTGCTTGGACTAAATTCAACTATTCTTTCTAGATTATAAAGATGGGGCTGGGTTCAGTTGGTACACCTCACCTAGTATGTAGTATGATGGTTATCTTGATTGTGGCACATATTGTCCTGGTATTGCAATCTTTTGTTGGCTTGTCTGTTTACCCACTAGACTAGTAACATAAACGAGTGAACTGAGGCCAGGATTAAGAAAAAAAGTCACTCAGTAGTATCTTTCAACATTTCTGGAAGTCCCTGTGTGCAGTGTCTGAGTGACACAACTCATACTTCTCCTCATTGTCTAGCTGACCCTCAGAAATGATAGGGACAGGTGCAAACTGGAGAGTCTATCCAGTGTAAAGGTGAGGCAATCACTGAGTGATAGGTATGTATTGTCACACAGGATATGGGTCCTATTGATAACATCCTTCACATTCTTAAGAGAAGCTGTGTAGTGTGAAATTATTTAATTTTTTAAGTATTACTATGTACTAATGCAGCCTGGAAGTTATTCAAAAATAGAAACTATGTGTTTTACCTTTTAGTCTCAAGTAGTGCCCTTATCTATTGGATAAATATGCCCTTCTCCCTTTCATAATCATTCAGTAAATTAGTGTGAGCTAGGGCCTATGTATTTTACAGACAAGTATGTGATTTATAAAAATGTGACTACATGTTACTATTTTGTTTATACTTTTCCTGTTGATGTCAGAGATTTTTGGATTAAATAAGAAAAAATAGATACTGCAAAAGGGAAATTGAAGTAAAATATAGGTAAGAAATTTACAGAAAAAATTATCTTAGAGGACCTCAAATTCTCTTATTTCATACATCATATCCCAGAGTACAAGGATGTCATCAGTCTGCTTAATAAATATTTGAATGAATGAATGAATTAATTAATTAAAGAAATATACCTAGGGTACAGAATATAGTTAGATAAGTTGAAAGAGTGGTTACTAAAAAGTTCCAAGCATATGCTCCAGCCCTTGAAGGAATTTTCATTGGTTTGAAAAGAAATGAAAATATATATATATTATAGCATGTGGAGGACATAGATTTATTTGTGCTTGGGTGTGTATATGTGTATGGATGTCTGCTGAACTTTTCTTTTTTAAGGTACTGATTTTCTTTTCAGATTTATGTTTTTTTCTATTTTTTAAATATTAAATTGAGATATGGTGACAGTACATGGTAATGTTTTTCTATTTTATTCAATATTTCTTTTATCAAAATAAAAATACATTAACTCTAGTCAATTCTTCCAAATTTTATTTAATTTTTTTTTTAATCCAAGAAGTTGAAATACCTGGAAACTACTATATTGAGAATTCTCCCGAGTACCCAATACTCACATCTCTCTTATTTCATTCACATTTTTTGTCTGAGATTGTAATAGTTTTAAGAGACTAATAGGCTGATAGGTGTATGAAGATTCATATTACATGGATAAAGGAGAAGAAACTACAAAAAACTTAACAGTTTGGGAAGAGAAGCCACATTTCATAGGATAAATTTCAATATGAACAAGTGCTATGTAATTTATTGAAGAATCAAGGACCCCAAACCAACTACACAGTTATCTAATGGCGACAGGTGTAGCCCAGTGTGAGATCTAGGAACCATTAACAGAACTGCATAGAATATTGTCTAGCTCAGCTCTGTTCCCTTTGGCAGATAAATGCATGTGGATGTTGCATCTGATTTAGAGGTCACTTTAGAATGATGCCTTTGAGCAAAGTGGTGTTCATTCTGTGGAATAGGAGGAAGATGGCGAGTGTTCAGCTCCATGCCAGATGAAGAAGATGCAGGATGCTTGTTCTAGAAAGGGAAATTCAGGAGGACTGTTAACAGTATAATCAAATTGCAGTCATAGAGGTGATCTTCATGATACAAAGAATAGAATGAAAAACATGGAGATGAACTATGGGAGACAAATTTTCTTTGATGAAAGGAAATGTTTTAAGTGGCAGAAAAAAATAGAGCTCTGTGAACAGTGGAGACACAGGTAAACATATGATGATAACGAAGTCTTTGCCCTTCATTTAACCCACAGTTTACTCTGGAAGCCATATGTTATCATTCCCATTTTACCATAGTCACAGATGAATGTGCCTAGTATCCGAGGTAGATAGAGGGTAGAAATGGGTGAGCTCTGCTCCTACTACCTGTGGGGATTTTACCTGTGGGAGCATCTCACTTCTCAGTCTCAATATTCTGATAAAATGAAAGTGCAGAGCTTAATTACATTATTTTTATTTTCCATTGCTACTATAACAAATTACCAAAAATTTAGTTGCTTAAAACAAAAAAATTCATTATCTCATAGTTCTCAAAGTCAGGAGTCCAAAATGAGTCTTGGTGGGCTGAAGTCAAGCCCAAAATAAGTTTCAGCAGGCTACATGCCTTGGGAGTGAATTGCTTTTCTTGCCTTTTTCAGCCTACAGTGGCCATCCACATTCCTTGGCTCAAGGCTTCCTTCTTGTCTTCGAAGCCAGTAATGATCAGACAGATCTCTTTGTTTTCTTTTCTTTTTTAAAAAAATTGTAGTTTATTTTTAAATTGATAAAATTCTATATATTTATGGTGTATGCCATGTTTTGAAATATGTATACATGCTAGAATGGCTAAATCAAGCTAATTACCATAAGTTTTACCTTATCTACTTTTTTTTTCTTGTGAGAAAAATTAAAATCTAAACATTTTCTAAGTGTAGAATGTATTATTATTAACAATAGTCACCATGGTGTACAATAGATGTCTTGAACTTATTCCCTTTGTCTAATTGGAAATTTCTGTTCTTGCTCAAATATTTTTCATCTCTCATCATTTAACATTTGTTCCCTTTTTTGACTCCTTTTTAGCCATTTAAAGGCTGTTTTGATTGGGCACCAGGGCAATACAGATAATATCATTTATTTTAAGGTCACATGATCAGCACATTAATTTCATCTGCAACCTTAATTCCACTTTGCCATGTAACAAAGCAATTCCTAGGTCCTGGGAATTAAGGTGTGGACATCTTTTAGGGGCTAAAATTCTGTGTACCACATCATTTAAAGAAGTTTTCTGTTAAGTCTTATGAGTCTGTGAGATGTCATCTCAAGCCCGACTTGTTACAAAGGAATAAGATGGGTCCTAAGAATCAAGGGGGCCTCAAGTTTGTCAGAACTCACGGCATACTATTCTTGTTTCACAGAAGTCCTATCTACCCTTGAATCACTGAATGTATGTGACACTGTTCTTTCTAATCAGTCCTTAGCTCAAGATCATCATCTCAATAGTTTGATTCCTGGTATCTGAAATTGAAGCCAATTTTTCAGATGATTGGATGCCATCTGGTCACCAGTTATTGGAATAGATGTGCTGAGCACGGACCGAGTTCTTTCAGGATGCCTGAGCGATTTCTCATGCAGGAGTTCCTTCTCCGTGCAGTCTGTGCTTGGTTTTATCAAGTCTAGATGAAATCCTTTATTAAGGATGAAATGGAGTGTAAGATTGCTCCCTTGCTTTCATTCATGTGCTGAACACAGCAGTCATATTAGAAAGAATGAATTCTACCCATTTCTCCTTTCCTCTGACTTACAGTGACTAACAGCATAATTTAGAGGGATTTTACACACTCCTCTAAATAGGTCATTGTTCTCCCCAAAGATCTAGAGAAAGCTGTAGTTTATAACCTGTGATAAATCATTATTTCAAAGTAGCTCACCAATTTTCTTCTTAAACATTTTTAATAGATTACTTATGTTCTTGCCTTTTAATGTTGGAAGTATTTTGTGAGCCAGTGTGAACTGGAGAGATGAGTAGCAAGGCATACTCTTTCCCCAACAAACAACAATTTAATTGGTGGAAATATTTTAAAAAATAATCATTTGAAGAATTTGAATATTGTTCTAAGGACATACAGAAAATTCAGAAACATTCAACAAAATCTACGAAATCTTAGTACCAACAGTAAAGTCTGTATCATTTGAGCCACAACCCACCCCTTGATTTTCCTCCACTCCTGAGCTCCCTCTTATAAGGTTTACCCCAGATCTAATTCTGGTAAAAGAGGGAGCCTTCATTTTCTTTTGACTTTTTCTTTTGACTTTTCTCATTCCCTTCCTTAGTACCACCATGCAGAAGCTTTACTCCAGCCTACCATAACTGAGAGGACCAGGTGTCTTTCTTGCAACTCAAGCTCCATGCATAGGGTAGAAGCCCTGAGCAGGCTTCATATGCCCATCACAACACAAGTCCTCAATAGCTCCTGTCCCAACTCACTTATGAGGGACCAAACCAAGAAGACTAGGGACAATCATGTCATGTCCCAACACGTGCCCCTGTCCCCATGCTCATTTTTGTAGCAGGAGAGTCATTCTATAGGAACAGGCCACTGTCCCTGCCTCCAGCTCCTGTGTACTGACACAGAGATTATACCCAGGAAGGTAACCTTTAAGGACAAAAAGTTTCATTCCTCTGCATAAGAAAAATGACTTCATGAGGAGCAGAGTGTCCAGAATTGCATGCCAAAAGGTGTTGTAAAACAGAATGGTGATTTTGGTATAATTAAAAGGGTTCTCATAGGTCCACAATACAAGTAGAGACAAGCAAATGACTGGGCACTCATCAGTTTAATACAGAAAACCAGGAAATGAGACACCCACAAAGCTCTCCTAGGATCAGAATCAAGCCTGTTGGGAGGGAGTGCTGTGTGCAAGCTCTGGCATCACTTAGTCATGATCAATCAGAGCAGGGAGGAGGGGCA